ACATAAAAAGCTTCCATGGGTTTTTTTAGAGCTGCATAGTATTCCATTGTCTCAGTGTACCATAGCTTTATTTTAAAAATCTTTATTTTGATGGACATTTAGGTGGCCTCCAATTTTTCAGTTATGCAGAGAATAAAATAATTGTCCTTATCTCAGAGAATTGCTGAAGACTTAGGGAGAGAACAAAGTACTGAGCGCAGTATTTGACACACAAAACACTCAGCAAAGGGCACTAATTCTTGACGCAGCTGCACAGTTACTTGCTGTTAGTTTCACGCCTACCCTAGGAGAGCTGCTCCTCTCTTCCTAGCCTAGATCCCATCGGCTTCCACCATTCCAGCATTTGGATCATCCATTATCCTATTTTTATATGGCTAGTTCTTCCCCAAAGAATCCCAAACATCTTTTTAAAAAAAAGATTCTCCGGTGACTTGCCACCTTCCTTAATGTTATGGTCTGACTGTGTGTCCCCCCAAAATGTCAAAATTTTAACCCCTCGAGGTGATGGTATGGGGGGAGGCCTTTGGGAGGTGGTTAGGTCATGAAGAGGATTAGCATCCTTATAAAAGAGCCCAAGAGAAACCGCTTGCCGTTGCCACCATGCGAGGACACAGCAAGCGGGCCCACAGCAGACACTGAATCTGCCAGCATCCTGATCTCAGACTACCCCCGCTTCTAGACCTGAGAGAAGCAAATTTCTGTTGTATATAAGCCACCCAATTGATAGTATTTTGCTACAGCAACACGAACAAACTACGGCACTTTACTACTACCCGATTTTTTCTCCTTTTATTTCTCAAACATAAGACTGTAACTATTAATATTTTCTTACCATTCTTGCCTTTGCAACTTTGTCTTCTAATCTGCTTTGTCTTTAGAAATAGATAATCTTCACACTTAAGTCCTTGGTCATAAATTCATTCTCTCTCTCTCTGTCATCTCATCCACTCTGGTGGCTTTAAATTATTACATCTAAGCAGATGATTCCATGTTTATATTTCCAGTCTTGACGTTTCTGTTGTATTCCAGTTCCCACATTTTAAACTGCTTTCTGGACATTTTATCTTGCCTATTTCCAAAGTTAATAGCTCTGAAACTCAACTTCTCATCAACCCCCCCCCGCCAATCCCAAACAGGCTCTATTCCTTGTCCTTCACTTAACAGGTCGCTCCAGCTCAGGGCCTCGCAGTTATCTTTGATGCCTCTCTTTTACCCTCCACGCGCAATTAGTCACCCGAATCCTGTTGACGCCTCCTCCACAAAGCATCGTGAATCTTGTTTTCTTTTCATTGCTATAGCGACATCCAGGATTTAAAAGTAACAACAACAGCAAACACTTTACATAACTACACTCTACATACCAGGAACTGTTTCATGTGCCTTATCAAACTGTTGTCCTCATTTTACAGATAACAGTGAGGCACAGAAAGCTTAAGTACATTATCCAAGGACACAGACAGGAGACCCAGGCGGTCTGACTGCAGTTTGTGCCCATAACCACTCACTGATCCTGCCTCTCAGAGTGCAAAGAGGGCAGGTTTCAGATAGAAAGACCCACATACAAGTCCCATCTTGTCGCTTCCTCCACAATGATCCTGGTCATCTATTAGGAGCCTCAAACTCACGATGGACAAAACTGAGCTCCTGATTTCTGTCCACTCACCCCCAAAGCATTCGTTATAAGGCCCCACACCACGAACCCATTAGCTCTGGCCCCCAAACGTGTAAGTCATCTTTGATTCCTCTTTTCCCTTCAAACCCCATAACCAATAAAAGCTAAAAAAAAAAAAAAAAAAATTGACAACACTTATTGAGTAGCAGGTAGCTGCATTAAATTATCTATTCCTCAAAACACCCCTATTAGGCAGGTTACTATGTTATTCTCGTTTACCTACAAGAAAACTGAGAGTGGTTAACAAAAGTTACCTAACATCATATAGCTAAAAAATACAGCCAACGAGTGGCAAGGTGGGGATTCGAACCTAGGCAGTCCAATCTACTTCTTAACCATCGTACACTGTTGGCCTCTGTGATGCGCTAATTCACCAATAAGTTCCCCTGGCTCCACCTCCAAAATAGTCTCAAACATATCACTTCTCTCCGTCTCCACTGCTAACACCACGCTACTTAAAGTCACCACGATCTCTCACCTGGGCAACTCGCTGGTCTACACCTCAGTCTTAAACCCCACCCACTGACAGCAGTCCACCCTACAAACAGCAATGGGGATTTTTTAAAAAGTGTAAATCAGATCATCTCATCACCGCTCCACCCCAGCCGCCCACCCACACAAGCACATCCCACTTAAAACTGTCCAGCAGCCTCCCACCACCCACCGAATAAGAAGGAAACTGCTTATCAGGCTTATAAGGCCCTATGTGATCTCGCTCCTGCCTACCTCTTCTTTCTCATTCTCTCTCCTCTTCTTCACCATGTGTTGGCCACCCTGGGTTTTCTCTGTCCCTTGAACATGTCGTGCCAACTGTGTTCCCACCACAGGGCCTTTGCACTGGATGCACTTGTTGGTATGTTTTTCCTCTGGGTTGCTGAATGAATACCTTCTTGTCAGGGAGGTCTCAATCGTCATCCCTTTTTCATCAGCCTTCTCTCTCCACCAGAGGCACAGTTGCTCTCCTCAGCCATCTCCAGCCCTAATACACCACTTAATCTTATTTTGTCTATGCCATAGTACCTATCAGCTTCAGAAATTATATTACATTATTTATTGTAATTTACTCCCATCAGAAAGTAACTCCCTGAGGGCGGGGACCTTGATCTGTCTTGTCCCCATGGCCTGGTACACAGTAGACATCATTGCTATTTCCAGGCAAGTTGCTCAATTCTGTGTTTATCTGTAAAATGGAATAATACTATTTACAGTGCC